GAGGAACTCAATTGAATATGGTGATTGGTCTTTTCTTGCTCAATAGTCTTAGGATTTAGACTTTTCTTTTCATGAATTTATATTGAAATCGGTTTACTAATTACTAAACTTTTCATGGATTCAGTCATTTTTTTTTATATTTAATCAAATTATTTATTAAATTTCAATTTCAATTACTTATTGTTGAAATTAGTTTAACTTTTATTAAATCCTTTATAGATCCCGTCATGCTTCTTTTATCATTAGAATGAACTAATTGTTGAATTTTAATCTTAGTATTAATTTATTGGCGAATTGATTACTGCTATATACTTGATATATATGGTCAATCTTTGATCTTGTTACAATAAAATTGTGCGAATATGTCATAAGTCTAGATTCTAGGATTACATTTGTAAATTAAATTGATTTTCACGATATATCTTCCGATTAGAATGACGGGATGAAAGTTTCTAATTGTGTTATAAAAATGGAATAATTGATGTGATGGATCCAATCCAACTGAGAAAATTCCGATGATTCATTGCCTCAAATTATTGACTTTAATTTCACCTTTCAATATTGAATTTTACTACACATTGAAGACGATAACTCACTTTTTGAAACCCTTAAGCATTTTCTATCTCCTTGTGGATACGACACCCCAAAACTGCACTACAATTCCAACGTTATTCTTTGGGCGTAATCAATTTCCTTGCTGAAAAATCTAGGCTTTTAGCAATGTTCAATCAATGTTCTACACCGGAAATTGCAGCTCTTGCAGAAGCATTCTCAAAGAAATCAAGTTCAAATTCACCTTCCTAAAAAACTGAAGATTATGAACAAAGCAATGAAAACATGTACTTTGGATATAATATTGATGATCTTATTGAAGAAGAAACTTAAAAGAAATTCTCCAACAAAATGACTACATAGACCCAATTTTCTAGAAGATTTCAGAAATTACCGAGCTCAAAAATTAAAAAAAAAAAATATTACCTCAATTATCATGATTTTATAGAATGAAATTGATTTTCTTTCTATAATAAATACATATATTTAAAAAATTGAACGTATGACTCGATACGTGAGAAGGAAACCGTGTAATGAACTGGTCCACATAAACCTCTATTTTTGTATTTTTATTTTCTTTTTCCTTCAACAGTTAATCCAAAGAATAAAGAATGAAAACAGTTGAATCAGATCTACATTCAAGAGATAGTAATATAAGAACCTCGTTTCCATAGAACAAATGAAATTTCTAAAGAGACTATTTCCAAATAATCTTAACTTTGATACTATCATGCCCCGGTTCCAGGATGTCAAACTCATGAAGTTGTCTAATGTCATTGATTATACACAACAGTTATACATCTTAATCCTCTCATTTTTCTCACTGTGATTATAATTCAAACGTGCCTTTAAAAACAAGTAGCTGAACTACAGCCTTTTATTCAAGTGCTTGCAAATCATACATATATCAAAGCATATTAAAAAAAAAACTAAGGGATCCCTGGGTGGTTCACCGCATCAGTGGTGGAGAGTTGAGCCTGGGAATTGGTGGCGCCGCTGCCTTTCTCAGTCGGCGCGTCCGTGGAGCTGGCAGCGCCTCGGCCAGGTTGAGGCTGAAGGTGTCCCTGTGTTCCATAGCCTTGTTTCTTGTAATCCTCCAAATCTCTGTACTGCGTGTATGGACTAGTCTCCACCGGTAGCCCTTCTAAATTCCCCTTCTTTTCAACATTTTCTTGTTTTCTATCCATCTGGATTCAATCTTCAGTTTCTTCTAGTTTATTTTGTGTTCTTCGATTTGGTTTATAATATTAGGCTGTGGATTAGTACATTCATCGTTTTTGTTATTTAAGGTTGTTGATTCTCTTTGTAATGGCGCCACGTGTCATAGAGGTGTGCATTTTTTGCGTGAGGTGTCACTCATTGAGTGAATGAAGGCTAAAGCCATGCAAAACCAAATAAATATTGGGGTCATTGTTGACTTGTTTCTTTACTATATTTGCACCCACAACTCACGAAAAACATTGCTAAAATAAAAATGGATTAATCAAAAAATATCATAGTAATAATGGGCAGGCCTTATGAGATGTATGCCGGTTATGAGAATCAAATGCAAGTTAAAGAACCATTCGATTCATTTAAGTGGCACAGTGGCATCCTCGTCTAGCACCTGTCCTGGACCAATCTGATGGATCGTGCTCGTTGACGTTGAAATTTGCATAAACAAATAGTCAAGCTAACTTAATGGAAAATAAAGTTTTATGAACGAGAAAGAATCACAATATTCCAATATCACAACAACAGTCAAGGTTGTTTTTCATCCGGCATAGGAGATATTTGAAATATGATTCACAGATGCAAGGAGATATTGTCCTCCCTCAAAAGAAGTTGTCATCCCCTATTTATAGTAAGAAATATACATGTCTCCGGTTTCCCATGTCTTGTTAGCTGTAATTTTGAGCTGAAGAAGTACAATTCTTGCCCCAATTGGATTGGCAAACAAGCTCGGAATGTCAGGTCATCGTGAATTAATCCTGCAGGTGGTCCCTAGTAATTAATGAATTACTTAGGGAAGAGAGCTTAATAACTTGATTGATAGATTCTGCGGACGCTGATGTCAGAACTTTACATATGCATTCAACTGATTGGATATCTATATATTTCGTCAGTGATCTTCAATCATCATGTTTCTTTCAATCTAGATAAATTACATAAACTTCTCGTACAAACAACAATAGCCGAACTGATTTCAATGACTGACCTCGGATACCAATTATCGAACCGACCTCACGTTAGGACCTATTCTTCTTCTATAGTAATCCAAACTCAACCGACCTCGGAGGTCGGACACCAACAATGCTTAAATTCAAACTAGACTCGTTCATTGTTTGAGCTATTCGATATAACTATCAACTGTATTATACTTTTGCCAAAATAAAGAAACCAAAACACTCCCTCTTTCTAATTTGAAAGTCCATTTTTTTCTTTTTGGGGGTGATCATAAGCAATATTTTAAATAATTTTAATATTATTCTTACTTATTCAGAGTATGTAATATGACTGATGTTGAATAAATTTTTAAATACAATTTTTGCTGAATAAAAATGAAAATTAAATATAAAAGATATTCAATTTTAAACTCCATGGCAAATCCTGGAAACTAAGCTCACTTGAGTTAAAACCTGAAACTATAGCTCTTAGCCCACTTTATGTACCATTTTTCAGTAAATTTTTCTGATTAACTTCTGTATTATGTTCTTGGTATTTGAAGTGAACTTTTATGCTACCTTAAATTTGAACCATCCACACCTTTCACTCTGTACCAGACTGTATAGCACATCATATATTGGTATAAACAATGCAAATGCAGCTTATTGTTATGGTTTAACATTGAGATTTCCAAAATAAAATTTTTTTAAGTTCCCTACTCTTTGCTTTGCCTGTGATTATATCTAAGAAATTCCATAGTTTTCCCATCCAATCAAAAGAGATCACTGGGCTTGTACATGATGTGAAAACTGAACATCTGCCAATTTTTCTCACATTATCACTCAAGTAAATCCTCCCATTTGCAGTATTGTCCCCCGGCCAGTGCACGATAATACCTATCTCTGCAGTAGACTGGCCTTCCATCCGCAGCCTCTGCTGCAGCTGCTGCTAGATCATCGTCTGATTTCACATTGCTCGGCAGTCTCAACAGTTCCTCCTTCCTTCAATATTTTTCATAAAAAATCGTGATGCGCAGTAAATATGATATGACGTATTTGATAAGGTAGATTGTATTGTATTTAAAAACTTGATTTGTTTCATACAATACCTTATATTGAACTTTGTGTTGATCTTTGATGATGAAACGTTGGATGGGTTCTCCTTAATAAATGTGTTCTGGATAAAATCCTCAACTGGTGCGGCGAATATGAATAATGAAACAGTTGCAACTAGCAATGCTCCTGTTCCAACTAGTGTCTGCTTCAGCAACTTGATGACTGGTTTTACCTAAATGACACAAATTTACACAGTTCTTTCACTCTTATAGAGGACACAACCTCTCTAGGCTTTAAAATCTGCATTGTTCACTACGATAGAGAGCAATATATTCTAAATCTGTTTTGTTCTTTATAATAGAAAGCAATATAATATATTCAATACCTTGAATGAACCCAATAATCTATCGCGAGCCAGGATCTGCAAGAAAAAATGATCAATCAAACGCGGTTTTATGGATTGGGTTATAACTGATAAACAGCACTAACCTTGGGTGCCTAGCTTGCCAAAATTAACGATAAACAGCACTAACCTCAGGTGGCTTCACCCACATTTGTCCATCATACCATCCAGTCTCTTCGTAAGGTATGACTGCTGATAAAAGCCTATCGCCAACATAACTCCATCCCTGCAAACGTATGCATAATAAAAAATGTAGATCGTATTGAGACATTTACAACATTCTAATGGAAAAATAAAATTGTTTGGACAATAAATTGGCCTAGCCGTTCTGGTATTCTAAATGATGAACTTCCCATGAGATTGACAGAACATACCAGATAAATCCTCAGGACAATTAATGAAACAAGAAAAAGAGTTCCTGTCCCGGCTGCTAAGATGAATCGTAAAGGATCCTGCAGATTGAAAACTATTAGTTTATACTCGGCAGTGAGTGAGCACAATTCTAATTCCATTAACAAATTTTGCAGAAGACATTCTTAACAAAACCTTAATCCTATGCTCATGTATTTAACTATAATTGTACTACCTTTGTAGGATTGAAACTTGCTGCTGCAATAGGCACTCCTAGGACAGTGAAAGTTACCAACCAGAGTCCACCAAGACGTAGGAAAAAAGAGCCTGGACCCAAGTCAGCCCATGAGTATAGAGATGCTTCTTTCAGAGATGAGTATTCGTTTACCTGTCAAATCACCATCATATGATAAAATCAACCTGTTACCAGATCCTATAAGAAAAAGATGACCAGTTCATTACATGATCTACTTCAATCCAGATAATTAACCTTACTAAACAAGCCATTAAGGTTTTTTCTAAACTGTACGAGGTTAAATAGACTGGCGATCAACAAACTTCCGCTGATGAAGTTGGTTACTCAACCTAAAATTTGTTACAATTCATTCTCCATCTCTCTCAATTTCGCTAATGAAAAAGTTAAGCCGATTTTTCTAACAATCAAACTGACTGACATAAAGACATGAACGCATTGAAACAAAATTAAGTTAAATGATAGGTAGAAACCTACCGGCCTTTGTTCGAATGGCACCTCTACTTCCATCCCTGGATCCCAGCTCCGACCAGGCACCCCACTTTTGCCCCCATCCATCTCATCTCTCAGGGCTCTGACAGCAATCCTCCCGGCTAAAATTAGATTTCTGTCGTACCGAATTATCGACCGGAAACTACTGCCCACATCAGCCTGTCGAGGACTCGGGACTATAGAACAGTATACATTCAACCGAAGCATTTTTTCTCAATTAATCGACAGCAGTTTCTGTGAAAAACCAGTGTGCCTGATTAGTTCACCATGAAGAGAGGGTCTGCAATCTGCATTATTTACGTGGAGGAAAATAATGGTGTTCTTGTCTTGTTCTAAAGCGAAAATTTCTGTTGACACAAATTTTGGTCCGTCTTATTAATTAGTGGGATTATCCAAAGAAGGTTAGATTTTTTACATATATTCTGTGGCTCAGAAATTACAGAACGTTGTGTGGCGTGCGCTGTAACGTGTCGAAAGTTTCCTTGCACGTTGCATCTTGCTCATATCGCACGTCCCCACGGGCCTGCTATCTACCAATTTTCAACTCGGACTCCATAAGAGGACGAACCCGTCGTTAAATAAATAATTGAAACTTTACAATCGATTCAAACTATGAAAATTAAGAATAAATTCACTTAATAAACAATAAAAAATTCAATCTCGATTCGAACTAATTTTTCAATTTAATAATTTCGCTAGATACATCAGATAATTTCGTAAAATTTTATAATGCATATTTAGAAATTTTTTATTTAACAGTATCTATTTTCTCAATTCGTTTTTTTTTTTTTCTAAAATATGCATCTAAAGTTGCTTGTATTTCTTTATATGCAAATCAAACTCAATCTCATCCCTATTTTTTCATTTTGTAAAAAATAATTATTTAAGTTTACGATACTTGAAATGATTCTTTTAGAGAAACATTTGATAAAACACAATTATTATCTAAATCATGTTCATTCTCGATGAGCGTATTTTGCACCCCTTGAATAATTTCTTCATCAATTAGCAATTTAGCATTCTATCATCGTATAATTTTCACTAGAATAAATTAAAAAGTGCTTGACGTTCATCGCGGTTTTGCAACATTGACTCGAAATTGCTTCACATAATCCAAATTAATAAATTATTTTATCGATAATCTTTTCGAAGTAATGATTTTTTTCAATGCCAACATTATTATTTTTATAGAGACATTTCAAAATATAGACATAATTTTCACCAATTAAAATAATTTATCATTTATGTTGTTTTGAAGTTTCAAAAAAAATTATCTCTTGATTAGATTGTGGAGTCAACTAGTTATTTATTTAGGATCAGGGGAGGACGCAGAAGTTAAAAGTTAGGGGGTATAATTGAACTTGCATACAAATTGAGAGAAATTTTGCAATCGAAAATTTGCGTCCAAAAAAATCGTACCCATGTAATTTTACATCCGAAAATTTATATGGGATATAAATTTTTCAGATGTAAAATTTTGAATAAAATTTATGTCATATTTCATATAAAATTTCCTAATAAAATGATGAAAATTACATTGAAAAATTTATATTGCAACAATAATAAATGTCAATGAAATAATTGAATTTTTTTAAAAAGAAAATGTCAGTTAAACGTATTTCTTTAAAACTTACGTTTAACTATTTTCGATATCTATTTGGATTATTTGATATGCNNAAAGGTTTAGAGAAAAACGAAACTGTAAACTGTTGGGAATTTACTTAACATGCACAGCGGAAAATTAATAATTTTTCAATTCCCACCACGGATCTGCTTTGTGTTTAGATAGAAACTGTGTTGAGAATAATACCTTTGATGAATTCTGCAAACTCTTTTGCTGATTCTCGAACTCCAATGATCACGATCTGCAATCCAAGCTGTTCAATTGTTCAGCCTCCAATGGTGATCCACACAGAGAACAAGAATGACGGCTAGAGTTTTACTTTTCCTATGCTAGCAAGAATAATGAAAAAAATCTCTACTATTTACAAACCCTAGCAGCCTATGAATATAAGTCCAAGTGGGCTGGCCCATCTCTAAATTTAACCCGATCCGATATTTAATTAATCAAATTAATTAAATACGGTCCATGAATTAATTAATCCAATTAATTAATTCGGACCGATTAATAAGCAATCCAATTAATTATTTATTCAACACTTGTCATTTAATTAATAGGTAAATCTCATTTTTCTGGTTCTCTTTTGTGTGTGACCCATTAGGTTCCCGATCACGATGCCGAACGACGTGAATTATTATTTTGATCTAATCAAAATCGATAAATTAAAACGCCCCTTTTAATTTATCACTAATTCATTTTCGTTGTCCCAGATTGACATCTAGCAATGTATCAGGGCAATACATGTGACGGGAAATATCACGTA